TATTACCTGGACAATGTCTGCAGCAGGGGTTTTTGGCCATGTCCTCTTTACACACACGAGGACATCGGAGTCTGCACTGGACGTTTCCTTCCTGGGAACATAGATGAGGTGCTTCACATTAGTAGGTTTCTTTTTGCTTAAAGTTAGAGTGTGGTCAGCCTGTAGATAATTTTAGCTTGGAACCAAATATTTTGTGGCTGCTTCGTGACCTCATGGATACATAGTCTTACAAAAAGTTAATAAACAAATATCTATATTTGACTTTTTAAAACCCTATGTGTGGCATACAGATGTTCAGAATAAAAATGAGTATCAAATGACACCAGAAAAAAAAGGTTGAAATGTAAGTGATAAGGAAAAAATAAGAGAAAAAAGGGAGAAATATATATAAAAAGAGGTGCTCTGAGTGACTCTGGGTCAAAACACAGGAGACAGTCAGCCGCTGTGCGAGAGCGGCGCTACAGGCTGAATCGGTTAAATTTGTGAGTGTGGTCAGCAGGAGACCTGGGGTAGATTGACTTTTTTATTTCTTGCCTTTGTTAATAGGCTACTATCATTGTCCATGGTAACTTTTTTGCTAAACGTAGGGAACGTTGCCATTTTTGTCCCCAAAAAATAACTCGACCCACATGGCGGGTTGAGATAGTGAGTGCTGGCCAAGTTGGCTGAGTAAGCGTACCCATCCCCAACCCCCCCCAAACCCTTCACATACATATTCTCTGCATTCAGTAAATTTATGCTAAATAGTTAACTCTGTTAAAGGACACAGCTGCAATAGATTTTTAAGGGCTTTGTTCTCATTATAAGTCATTAATCTGGTCTTGAAGGTTCATAACTTTTCTATGTCATCACAAGTCTACGCCGAGCAATGATATAGTGGTGTCCAAAAGAAACTTGAAAATGTATTCACCAAGCCATCATGTTAAAGCCTTGCACTACCCACTCATGCAGAATACCAATTTAAAGCTACACATAAACACACAGACACACACACATATACACACACACACGTATAAACCCACACACACACAGACACAAACACACACATACACACATATACCCCCCCACACACACACACACATAAAACCCACTAGGTACACTGTAGTTCTATAAACACAAAAGCTTACCGTGCATTTGCACACAGCGCATTCTCCACTTCCAGCTGGTGATGAGTTAGGCCGCCATCTTTGGCCGTTTTTGTATGGTGTTCCAGCAAAGCTGCAATCTGTTGGAACAGACAGATGGGTGGATTAAAGCAAAAGTAATTTCATTTTTTTTTTCAATTTTTGTAAGAGTTTTATGGCACTTGGAACACAATAAGATCATACAAATGCTAAAAAAGTTAGAAGTGTTACTGCATGGTCTAGAGAGTAATATACAAAGAGAAGGAGAGATAGAGATGATCGATGTTTGACAGTTAAAAAGGAGCAAACCACACCAGAGCACCTACCATCCATCCATCCACAAAGAATAGATGAGTGGATGGATGGACAGGTAGATACATAGACGTAATGATGGAAAAAAGGAATGACTCATTTATAAACTGCCTGAGTATGCTGTATATTTTTCTGTCTTACCTGATTCAATCTACTCTAACTCAATGTCCTCATCTCTCTATCTGTCTACTTGTTTTCTGCCCAGTTGCTTCCTACCCCCTTCTTCCTTCTTTCCTCAACCTCCTTCCTTCTACTCTCTCAGTTTGGACCTCCATTTTTACCACTCTTTAAGTTCTTCGTTGGTCTCTATTTCTGTCTGTCTCTGTCTCTCTCTCTCCCTCCCTCACACACACACACAAACACACACACAAACATACACAAATAATCACGCACATACACACGAAGACAAATAAATGCATCCAAAACAAGTTACATGAGTATACATACAGCACACTGTAAACATCGTTGTCTTCCCCTATATCATCCCACACTACACATTAGTCTACAAATTCATAATTTTAGTTTTCGTAAGAATTTTACACCACTTGCAACGCAAACAGGTCAAACAAATGCCGAAGATTATGGAAATATGTTACTAGAGACTCATATGCACATAAGATCTGGAGGAGAGATAAGGACAATAGATGTTTGATAAGAAAGAAAGAGGAAACCACACCAGAGCCCATGCAACCACCCACATTCATGTGTTTTAGCCAAAGAGGTTAATATACTAGAGCTTGCAGCAGTGACGTCACACGTGTCAGATATGGGGCCTTTCTTACCCTCATAGGCAAATCTGGCGCACCCCCATTTACATGAACAATCTGAGCCCCCACCCTGTTCCCCATGGGCTGTAGTATATCAAACACCACCCTGCCCCCATATTTCAGTGCAAGCTTGTAGATTTCCTCCTAAGACCGCCGAGACACCTCCACGCGAGTCTCGAAAAGCACTCACCTGTCTGTTGAACTACACATGTCTTGCCCTGAGGATCAGCGTACCAAGGTGGGCAAACGCAGCCCCCGTTCATTTATGTGGGGGATATCACAGTCATGAACTCTAGTACAAAATATTAAATATAACCTCTTTGGTTTTTGCTCACCTTTTGACATTTGACCTTTTTGTTTGTCTTTCTTTTTCTTCACTCTTGGCTCCTCTGGTTGGTCGGCTGAGAAGGGAAATTATGTAATGTAATGAAAGATAAAAAGGAGGAAGGCAAAAGAAGGTGAACATGAATGATGAGGAGAAGAGTTTCAGTTTTAGTAAGAGTTCTACAGCACTTGCAACACAAGGTCATATAGGAGCTAAAGATTAGAGGTGTTAGCGCGCTCATAATATGACCTTATGCAGTTGCAAGTGCCGTAAAACACTTACAAAAAAAAAAGAAAGGTGTTAGAAGAGAGTAACAAACACAAAAGAGAAGAAGAGAGATCTGAGCGATAGATGTTTGATAGAAAAGAAGGAGCAAACCACACAAAAGCACCCGCCAACCAACCACTGATGAAGAGAATGTGATGACTATTTACTGATAGTAACATGTCTTATGCCTTAATCCCATCCAACACGTGAGATGATTTAAAAGGTGGGATGCTTTGACCTTGCTTGTAAGAAACAGCCTGGACTGTGAGGGATAAAGCCTTCCACTTCCAGTCAAAAGATCAAACAGACTGCCCCACATGGGGATTAAACTCACGTCTTTAACACACAACAGAGGGGACCCTAATCATGATGCCACAGGTGCCAGTAGTAAAAAGGAGAAGCATTTATATTGGCAATGTTATTCGGAGTGGTGATGGTGGTAAGAATAATGATTGTAGACACATGACATTTAGCCAGTTTTAAAAAATACTTTCAGTCTTTTCACTTTTAGTAAGAGTTTTACAGAACTTGCAACACAATGCAGTCATATAAGTGCCGAAGATAAAGGAGTTACAAGAGAGTAAAAAACACAAAAAGATGGAGGAGAGATCAGGACGATAGATGTTTGATAGGAAAGAAGGAGCAAACCACACGGGCAGAGTACCCGCCAACCACCCACACTTTCAGTCTGCATCTCACAAAATTTGACAATTCGACAGTGGTCTATCTACAACTTCATACAGACAAACCTGCTCTGACAGTCATCCCATTGCATTTCTTAAACTATAATCACATCACACAAGTTATCCACCTGTCTAAGACAACCCCTTTTCTCCCCCGAGCGACTGTTGAGTTTCTGCGTGCTGTCGGTATCGCTGACCATTTATTGCGCCTACAGCGCCAGAAGAAAGAGAGAGAACCACTTTTCTTCTCGACAATAAGTGGCCGCTCTGAATAATTTTGACTGCACAATAATGGTTCCTTTTCATCTCATCAATACGCTCGCAACAGAATCAAACACGATGAACCGTACCTGCACACTCCTCACAGCAAACATTGGGGCGCTTCCTTCTCCGCACACAGCTAAGGACAGGGCACTGTAGACGACCACAGTGGAACTCTCCATCCTTGAGGAAAATAAATAGATCATATAAGCACATCCTTTAAGTTTGAGTTTGAGTTAAAAAACACACTCAGAATATAGCATTTCTATGTATTGCTCCATTTTATGATATTGGTTCTACGGATTCATTATGCATGGCAGGTATGGCCTCAGACTCATAAACTAAAGGTATTTTCCACAGGCCTGAAACATAAAAAGGACCTAATGACAATTGTGCTGCAGGGCAATATAGAGGCAAAGAGTTGGAGATGTACCTTGCATTCACAGAAAAAACATTTCATGTAGCCAAAGGGGTGAATATTTGGATGCCATCTGTCACCATTGCTTTTCACTTCACCCAAGAAGTTGCACGCTGTGGATAGAAGATTTTAGCAGTTGTAAAGATTGGCAATGTTTATTCTTACCCTCCCCCTTCCCTTCCCGCCACTTGAAAACCCCCCAAAAGGTTTAGTCTAAAAAAGAATTTCACAAAACTAGTAATACAATTAGGCTATACAAATGCCGAAGATAGAGAGTAACATATGAAGAAAAGAAGGAAGAGATGTTAGGTCGATAAATGTTTGATACGAAAGACGAAGTAATCCATAATCCACACAGGAGCACCTGCCAACCACCTGCACAATAAAACTTAGATCTTTGAGGTGTGAACTGCCAGTTTTTTACACCTCTTTCAACCAAAAATATGTAAGAGCAAGCAAGTACTTTCTATTCTAATGTCCATATCTTCTAAGACATTTAAAGGGACAGAACAACCTCCTCTCCCATATGAAAAAAGACAAAAATAGATAGACAGACAGCAAGAACAAGAAAAATATAAATATTTCCTTACCTCCATTCATATTGATATCTTTCTGCGGCTCTTCAACAGGTGCTTCAGTAGTTGGAGGGTCTGAAAAGAAACAAGGAAATGTATACCGAAACATTTATTTATATTATTTATTTCTTTTGTCGTCAAGCAAAAATATCTTTTTCAGGAAGCAGATCTATTCATTGATTAATAGAGAAGAATATTACTTCTCTATTAATCAATGTCCCTAATCAAATATTTGAAGATCATTTTTTATCAGATCAGCCTAGAGGTAAGAGAAAGCAGGATTCACCAAGAAAAGGAAGCAGTACACATAAACCTCGGAGCATGTTTTATGAGCCACATTCCTCCATAAGAGTCACTGCACTTCTTTCTGATGTGCAGTTGGCTTATTTACTACCCCAAAAGCCATCTTGGGAGGGGGGAAGGTATAAATAAAAGCATATTGATTGATATAAAAGACATTACAAAAAGAGAGAGGGGAAGGGGGACAAATATGGAAGGAACAGTCAAGAGTTTATCAATTGTTTCCCCTCACACTTCTTCTTTTGAGAACAAACAACAGCATCAAAAGCAGCAGCAGCAGCAACAACAATATTAGGAAAAGACACAATACAGGCAACAATAGAAATGGCCAATACCAGCATCATTCTTGTTAATCCCACCATCCAAATGCCCACCATCACCATAAGCAAAAAAAAACCCTTGAAAAAAAATCATCTTCAGTGACAACAATAACATAAATTAAGACCACTACCCCTACTAACACTATCAATAACAATTTTTTTTAAAACAACAACATCAAAAACAAGAATAACACATGTAACAACAGCAGTACCAAGCAGCAGCAGCAGCTTTAGTTTTAGTGAGAGCTTTACGGCACTTGCCATACAATTAGGCTGAATACAATAAGTGCCAAAGATTGGAGGTGTTAAAAGAGAGTAACAAACATAAAAAGAAGGAGGGGAGATAAGGATGATAGATGTGTGATAAGAAAGAAGGAGCAAACCACACCAAAGCACCCACCAACCACACACTGTAGCAGCAGCAACACCAACAACAATATATAACACATACAAAAACAGCAGTAGCAACAATAACAAACACAACAATAACACATACAAAAACAGCAAGTAGCAACAATAACAAACACAACAATAACACATACAAAAACAGCAGTAGAAACAATAACAAACACAACAATAACACATACAAAAACAGCAGTAGAAACAATGACAAACACAACAATAACACATACAAAAACAGCAGTAGAAACAATAACAAACACAACAATAACACATACAAAAACAGCAGTAGAAACAATAACAAACACAACAATAACACATACAAAAACAGCAGTAGTAACAATAACAAACACAACAATAACACATACAAAAACAGCAGTAGTAACAATAACAAACACAACAATAACACATACAAAAACAGCAGTAGCAACAATAACAAACACAACAATAACACATACAAAAACAGCAGTAGAAACAATAACAAACACAACAATAACACATACAAAAACAGCAGTAGAAACAATAACAAACACAACAATAACAAACACAACAAGAACTAACACAACAACACCACACAACAACAACAGTAGTTATAGCAAGCAGCAGCAACAGTAACAAAAAAACATAATAACAACAACAGCAAATTAAGTCCCGTAGTGACCAGTCACTACTGGCAAAAATCACGACTGGTAACTTCTCCGGGTTGCCGGCCAACAAAAATAGAATAGACAACACGTCGGTCCCAATCTGTCCATTGTGTAGCGAGGAGCCCCAAGATCTGGTGCACTGGCTGCAGAGACGCCCTGCTACGGAGGTCCGGCGGTGGCATCTCTTCGGGAAGGATTCAGGGAGGCTGGACAGCCTCACCCGCTACCCAAGAGAGGCGGTGGCCCTGGCAAAGAGCATGCTCTTCGGGGCTCCAAACAATTCGGAAGGATAGGCTCCCACACACACACACACACACACACATACAACAGCAACAACAACAAATAGATGAAGAAAAAAACAACTGAAACAACAAAAACAAAACAACATTTACAGCAACATTACTGTAATATGAAACATCAAAAAGAAAAAAAAATAACATTAACAACAACAACAGTAACAACAACATCAACAACAACAGCAAAGATAAACCATAACTCACCTCCACAGACCAGGCAGCATGGGTTCTCTTCACTCCTCACCCACTGGGACTTAGGGCACGCTGGGGCTGGACACGGGAGCTTGTTGCACTCTGTCTTCCCACCGGGCTGGAGGTGATTGTTGTGGTTGTTGTTGCGGTTGCGGTTGTTGTTGTGTGGTTTATATTGTGGTTGTTGGTGTTGTGGTTGTTGTTAGTGTTTTAGCGTTGTTGTTGTTGTTGTTGTGGTTGTTGTTTTTGTTGTTGTTGTTGTTGTCATTGAGGTTGTGGTTGTCGTTATCATTGTTGTTGTGAGTGTCATTGTGGTTTGTGGTAATTATTATTGATGTTGGTTTTTGTGATGGAGGTAGGAGGGGGAGAGATAAAATCAAGCAAAGTCAAAGTCACATCATGAGCAACAAAAACAAACTAATACAACAGTGAAAATATGTAATTCCTACGTAATGATTGAAAAGTGGGAAGACATGAAATAGCATCAAGAGGCTAGCCCAGGATAGAAAAAGGTGGACAGTGTTTGTTCATGGCCTATACCCTGGTGCAGGGTGAGAAAGGCAATGATGATGATAATGATGTAATGATTAGAATTGACAAGAGCAAGAATTGCCATTTTGGAGTTTTATTGCACTTGCAGCACACCTAGGTCAAGTAATGACCAAATATTACAGGTGTTACTAGAGAGTAACGTACAAAGAAAAGAAGGAAGAGAGATAAGGGCTACAGGTGTTTGATGGGAAAGAGGGAGCAAACCACACCAGAGTACCCGCCAAACACCCACAACTACTTTTGTATAACACTTTAAGTTAACCAAGTAGAAAAACTGCTGCACAGTGTATTTCTGCACATCAGCAGTGAGTAAGAAATGAGCTCATTTTTGCACCAACACATATGGACCACATTTATGTTGTAGTGAACTTTACAAGGATTTAATAATGCTGTTCAATATAACAAGCGACTGTGTCGTAATCAAGGTGTACATAGGTGTGGGTGTGCAAGTTATTCATTTTTTGAGGGGGGGGG